AACAGTAAAGTTCATGGTTATAGTGTCCATAATACTAGCTAAACTTATCTAATCCTTGCTTGTCATCTCTACAGCCTCGAGTAGAACAATCTTATCGACGGGTCGCACTAATATGGACGTCTTTGTCTTGACTTTAGCTGAGCGTACTAGCCCATCCTTGCGATTTTTGTATACTTCCAGTAATCGTGCTAGTGGCCAAAGACTGCGGAGCGTATTCTCATCAAGAAGAAGCACAATATCATTCTCGGCGAGATTACACTGTGGCTTGTTCCACTTTTGACATTGCTGCAGTGACGGCAGGTACTCTCTGGTCCAGCTTCACCAAAAGATATTGCTAAGATATTGCACTTGGCGCTATCTACAACAGGTGCAGTTATCTTCCTTGGAAAATACACCGGGTGGGATTGCTGTTCCCGCTCGAAGTAGCAGGAGATGATTAGGTGTTAGTGCGTTGAGATCCCTTGCATCATCAGATACCTTGGTGATTGTTCTTCCATTAACAATGGATTCCACCTCGCACATCAGCGTGTTAAGACCTTTCATCGTCAAGAACTTGTTGCTTGAGTAGCGCTTTCATGACCTTTCTCACAGTTGTTATGCATCTTTCCCACACTCCTCCGTGGTGTGACGCAGCGGGTGGGTTGAATATGCTGTATTACATACGTGTGAAAATCACCATTTTATGAAAGCTTTGATTTTGAAATCACGTACTTGGCTTGAACAATAACTGATAATAAATCAGTAGGAAGTTGCATAGGAAGTTGATAAACGATCGGCGTTTCAAAACTAACAAAAACTAATGTTGCAATTCTACTCGTTAATGTTAACTAGTTTACTACCTGACAGATTGTTATTTTATTTATTGAGTTACTGATTTGTTTACTTACTCATTTATTTATTTGTTTATTTATTTAATTATAACAAAATATGCCAACTAAAAGTTTAATAACATATTATATGTAGTATTTCTGAAACAAATTCAAAGAACATATTAAGACCATCTTAATATGTCTACCTGCAGTTTTGAAAAAGGGGTCTGTTAATTGTGCTGTGAAGTTATTTTTGTTGGTAAACTTTTCAAACCAGTTTGACTTGATTAATACTCTTTTGGATTTTCTTGTTTTCATTTTCAATTTGAGTTTGGTTTTTCTAGATGAAGGTAGGGGCTGTAGATCATAAACATGCCACACTGTCAAAATCAAACTGGTTTGTTATAAAGTTGAAGCCAAAGGTAAATTTTGTAAGTACAACAGGGTTGCTATAATGTACTGATCTTACCTCTCCAAGCCCACGGGCAGGTCAACCCTACATGGGCT